GTTGGCTGCCTCCTGCACACCCCCTACTGGGTGGGGATGGAGCCCACAACCTGGGCATGTGCCCTGACCAGGAATTGAACTGAGACCTTGGAGAGAAGTTTTTTTGTTTGGTTTGGTTTGGTTTTTATTGATTTTAGAGAGAGAGATAGAAACATTGATGAGAGAGAACATCGATTGGCCGCCTCCTGCATTCCCTACTAGGGATCTGGCCCACAACCTGGGCATGTGCCCTGAATGAGAATCGAACCAGCAACCTCTTGGTGCATGGGTTGATGCTCAACCACTGAGCCACACTGGCTATGCATGGAGAGAACTTTTTAAATGAGGCAGGAGGAGCAATGATCTTGACCTGGAATGGCATGTGACAAAGGTAGGAGGCTGAAAGTCTGAAAAGGCAGGGGATGCCAGGGGATTTATTTCCAAGCAAAGTAAGGTTCTGGAGTGTGAAACACAATGGCTCGAGGGAAGCCCACAGTGGGTGGTGAGCTCAGGGTGGGGCAGCAGACGAGGGATGGACTGATGTGAATGGGGCTGGGCTGAGTGGAGGCCAAATTATCCTAGCCACCACTTCTGCACGTGGCTAACTTTTTCTTTTGTTAATCCTCATTTCTTTTGCCCTGGCCAGTTTGGCTCAGCGGTTACAGCGTCAGCCCGTGGACCAGAGAGACCCAGGTTTGGTTCCTGCTAAGGGCACGTACCTCAGTTGCAGTTTGTCCCCGGCCTCAACAGGGCCATGTGGGTGGCAGCCAGTCTCTCTGACATTGATGTTTCTCTCTCTCTCTTCCTCCCTTTCTCCCTCCCACTCTATCTGAAGGTAAATGCAAAAATGTCCTCAGGTGAGGATAAAAACAAAAACCAACATTTTTTTTCCATTGAGTTTTAGAGAGAGTGGAAGGGAGGGAGGGGGAGAGAGAGAGAGAAACATTGATGTGAGAGAGACACATTGACCGGCTGCCTCCCACATGACCCTGACTGGGTCCAGGGATCAAACCTGCAACCCAGGCACATGCCCTTGACCGGAATTGAACCTATGACCCTTCATTCCGCAGGTCCATGCTCTACCACTGAGCCAAACTGGCCAGGGCTTGGTTAACTTTTCTAAACGGAACTTCTCCACCTTTGTCCAACATGATGTCTCTTGTTTCTAACATTCAAACAGCTCCTATCATCTTAGCTCCTTCATGATTGTGTCATTGTGGTCATCATCATCATCATCGTCATCAGCAGCAGCATCATCACTATGGTTTCCTGCATGCCAGCCAAGCACCATGCATCAAGCTTGAGCTATGATGCAAAGATGAAGGCAGGCTCTCGATCCTAAGGGGAGCTTCCAGGCCAGTTGTGAAGGCAGGATTCAGATACCAGGGACAGACAGACTAAGATGGTAAGTGGATAAGAAGCAGACTCAAGAACCCCATCACCACCAGGAACCTGGAAGAAGGTTTGCTCTTTGTGAACTAAGCTCTAAAACTACTGCATCTGCCTTGGCCGGTTTGGCTCAGCAGTTAGAGCGTCGACCTGCGGTCCCGAGAGACCCGGGTTCGGTTCCCGCTAAGGGCATGTACCTTGGTTGCAGTTTGTCCCTGGCCCTGGTCGGTCGTGCGGGTGGCAGCCACTCGATGTGTCCCTTTCACATCGATGTTTCTCTCTCTCTCTCTTCCTCGCTCTCCCTCCCACTCTACCTGAACAAAAAATGTCCTCGGGTGAGGATAAAAAAAAAATAATAAAAAATTTAAAACTACTGCATCACAGGCCGGAACCGCATGACTCCGTCACCTGACCCAAGTTATTAATGGGTCTCTCCCTAGAAGAGTCACAGAGGCAAACCTTAGCCTCGGCAGTACCCCCCAAGCTACTCAGGGGAGGAGGTCATGGGCAAAGACCTTGAGTGTATGAGTCCCCAGACTTGGTTCTCCTGCAGCCTGCCCTAATGGTATAAAATATAGGCAGCCACCAGACTTGTTGGGATTCCCTGTTTGCAAGCTACCCTACTGAGTCAAAGAACTCGGCGGAAAGCATTTCAAATGGAAGGAGCATGAGCAAAGGCCCTGAGGTGGGAATGAGCTTGGTGCATTTGAAGACTAGTGTGACTGGTTTGTGGTGACAAGTGGAAGAATGGCATGTGATGATATGGAAGAGATAAGCTTGGCCCCATCGAGCAGGAGCTGTGGAACTGGACATTTCAAAGAACACTTGTGAGTATTTAATATGTATCTGGCACCATTCCAGGCACTGGGGAGTCAAAGATGAAAAAAAATTAAGTCATAGTTCCTACTCTTAAGGCAGACAATCAGACAATAAAGTCTTCAAGACTCTAGATTCTGAGATAAACATGTAAACAAAAAATATATAGCATAGGGGTACTGCATTGAATGATAGAAGTACTATGCTATATGTATAAGACCTAGAATTGGCACAACACGGGGGCATGCGTAAGCCCATCCTGGTGAGAATGTTAGAGAAAAGCTTTCCTGAAGAGAGCATCTGAGTCTTTGGGGAGCAAAGAATGAATGGCAGTCTGGTCGGTGTGGCTCAGTGGTTGAGCCTCAACCCATGCACCAAGAGCTTACCAGTTCAATTCCTGGTCAGGACACATGCCCAGGTTGTGGGCCCGATCCCCAGTGCGGGGCATGCAGGAGGCAGCCAATCAATGTTCTTTCTCATCAATGTTTCTGTCTCTCTCACTTCCTTTCTCTAAAAAATCAATAAAAGAAAAAAATTGTAATAATTATTTAAAAAGAAGAATGAATGGCACTCCAGGCAGAAGGCACAACGTGCAAATCATGAGGGTATGAAGCAATATGATGGGTTCAAGTGAAATACAAGTTGTTAGATATGAATAAGGTACAAAGTGCAGAAGGGGTTGAATAACGGAGCATCAGCCGGGCAGGCACAGAAGATTCTCATGGGACAGAGATGAAACGAAGTAGATTTGGGGTGGATGGTGGAAGTCTTCCAGAACAGTCCAGGGGAGGAGAGGATTGGCTTCCTGCACCGGCATGAGTCCCCTAAAACACCCACCCTCACTCTTTATTCCCAGCCCTTTTCTGTCTCCAAGTACTTAATAAAATGCATCTTAGATTATTATCTATAATCTTGTTAATGTGTTTATGGTTTGAGATTAGAATTCGGTCATCTCCGTATTCTCTGCTGGTTGATGCTTAAACCTGCATTTCCGGTTTCAGATGTCTGAAACACAGACTGTGTTTTAATTTCTCAATAATGCCTGGCACAGCCTTATCTGCAGAAAGGTGTGTTCACAATGACTTCTGATGAGGCTTCATAATTCTTTGTTTTGCATGTGTAGACACAGACTTAGAGACATACAAACTCCCTTGGCCTGGAAGAACTTTCTGCAAATTAGTTCGTCAGTCTTCTCCTCCCTCTGCCGCCTCTGCAGCACACACAGGCGGGAAGCTAAGGGCAGGGGTTTAATTAAATTCTATCTTGTTTATTGAGAGCTCTCTCTGTGTCAGGCACTGAGAAGAAGCTGAATTATAGGCAAGGAGACAGGGAGGGAGCAGCCCATAGGCTCCTGCTCTCAAGATCCACATAAGAGAAACTTCATGTTTGGGATTTCTGGATGAAATCCAGGATTAGTTGTTGGAATTACAATTCAGTTTGGGGATAATTTAATCCATCTGTTGGGTTTTTGGGGTGGGGTGGGGACGAAGGCCTTCAATTCTTCGTGAATGAGGAGCCTATACTTCTGTACCCTTCACACTGGGAAAACAGCCTTTAGATCAAACTACCTAATCAGAGTACAGAAGAGGGAGAGAGAAAATGTGTGATTTGGAGGTCAGGTTATCTAGCCTCTCTGAGTCCGGAGCACAGGTCACAGGGAAGAAGACAAGCGCACCATCTCACCTGCTCCCCTCCAGCCTCCTCTCAGTGGGAGAGAGCTAGCTGGACTGTTTGCAGCATTTCCTGCTCTTCCTGTGCTGGATCGGGCTAAGGCTGGAGCCAGAATGAGCCCCGCCATAGCTCTGGTTTTTCCACGTGTGTTGATGTCACCACACCTGCTCTTGCATCTACTTCTATCCCAGGGACCTTACCAGTGGGGGTTTGGTGGTGGGTACTGATGTGGGAATCCCACAGGGCTTGAGAATCGGAATATTTTGGTGCTAGTCCTGTCTCTGCTCCTCATTGCTGCATATCCTTGATTGAGTCACTCTGAGCCTCTGTGGCCTCTTATCCTTCAGGGTAAGACTTACATGTCACCTACTCAGGGAGGCCCTCCCACATTTAAGTGGTCTCCTGTCCTCCATACCATTGCCACCTAGTCACACGCATGTATATGTAACATGTACATATGTGTGTGTGTGTGGTGTGTGTGTATAAATATAAATACATATACACACAGTTATGCTTGTCTGCTTATTGGTTCGTTTCTCTACTAGATTCTGATCTGTAGGCTCTGAGAATGCATCCTCAGAGCCCAGCAGGTGCCTGGCACATGGGAGGACATAGAAAAGTAACTCAGTAAATGAAGAGATGAATGAATGGCCGCTGACCCACATGATCTCTCAGGTTCCTTCCCCTGAGAAAGTTCAGGAGTCTAAGGTTTCCCTCTAGGAGGACCATTCCCGGTCCTCTCCCAGAGTCGCTCCAGAGGGGGAAGGTGAGAGTTGTGTGGAGGGCGGGCTGCAAGCCCAGGTCGCTTCGCAGGACTGGGGCGAATGTGCTTAGAGATTAGCGCAGATCCGAGACTCGCTGCGGCCCCGCCTCCCGGCCGGCCAGCGGGGGCGGAGCCAGGCCGCCGTCGCCCGAGTGGCATTCGAGGGGTTCGCCAGACCGATTGTGGCGAGGGAGCAGGTTCGAAGGCGAGTCAATGGCAGGGCGGAGCCAGAACGGCCCCCAACACGCGCCAACCTGCTGGCGCAGGGGGAGGGGCCTCAACCCCCTAGATTTCCCGTTGGGGGGCCTGGGCCGTGCCGTTGCCTAGCAGCGTCCCGCCCCGCCCCCGCCCCCCGCGGCCGCTGCGGGCGCCTCCCCCCAGCATGGCCTGGCGAGGCTGGCCTGCACAGTGCCTGTGGGTCGCCAGCTGCGGGCTGCTGCTGCTTGCCCTCGTCCTGCTCCTGAGCCCCCGCAGCTGCCGTGCGCGGCGCACCCTCCGCGGCCTGTTCATGGCGCGCAGCAAGCGGCTGCTCTTCCGAATCGGGTTAGTGCCGCGCTCCGGAGGGGTGCGGAGCTCGGGAAGGCGGGCTCGCTGGGAAACGGGACTGACAGGCGGCGGCTGCGGGAGGCTTGGGGGATCCGGGTCCAGAGAAGAGCGGTCGGAGAGGGTGGCTAGAGAAACCACTGGCACGGGGTGGGGAGAGAAGTTGGTGGGTTGGAAAATTGGTTTGGGTTGGGAAAGGAGGGTTGGAGGGGCGGCCAGGATGGCCAGAAATGAGGCATGAGAGGACATCTGGAGGTTAGGGGCCGGAGACAAGGGAGCTGGAAAAGGAGGGTAGGTGCAGTACCCCGGGTCCAGAAGGCCCCAGTGGGCAGGTGCAGGGTAGATGGAATGCCATAGACCATCCAAGTGTCATTTGAAACCGACAGCTCCTTTCACATGTCCCTGTCCCTCTCCCCATCACCCAACTCCCCACCACATAATGTAAGCTCTTCTGTCCCAAGCGAGTGTCCTAACTCTGTAGGTCAGTCTGTGCCCTTTTCCCTATCTTGGCCTGTGTGGGAAGCCCCTGGCTGTGCAATCCGACCTACTTACTCTGCTTGACTTGTTAAGGTTCACTAACCTCCAAAGACTCTTTATTGTCCAACCCCCTCCCACCCAACCCCACTCTTCCCTTCCCCCTATTTTTCTGCCCCTTCCTGAGCAGGCAAGAGTGGCTAACCAGCTGCCCTCTTCTGCACTGGGACACTGAGCAGCAGGGAAAGAACCCCTCAAAAAAGGCTTCCTAGGGTCCCTATCTCCTTCCCACTACTAGCAGGGCCAGGGAGCAGGACCTCAAGCCCCATTTTGAGGACAGTGACGTTGGGGATGGGAAATGTGGAAGCTCTTGCCACAGGCCAGTTTCAGGGGAGGACCTAAGCTTGTGAATTTCCTGAGTTTAGAGAAGACATTGTACAATTAACTCTTCTCCCTGGACCACTTCAAATACCCTAGAAGCTTCAACCGTAGGATTCTCCTCACACTCAGTCTAAGAAGCAGAGATATGAGGGCCTAGTGGAGGAAAACTGGAAAACATAACAGGGATGGGGAGTCTTGTGTGTGTGTGCCTTTTGGAGCCTGCACAATTCTAATAGCCCAAACATTGGTCACATTCTCAGTAATGCACCAACCAAGTCACCATCGCTCTGCTAATAGGATTAACATAATGAGATTTATAAATATTTAAGTGTTGTTTTTTTTTGTCCTCACCCGAGGACATTTTTTTGTATTTTGTTCAGATAGAGTGGGAGGGAGAGATAGGAAGGGAGAGAGAAACATCGACGTGAAAGGGACACATCGAGTGGTTGCCTCCCACAGGACCCAACCAGGGCCAGGGACAAACTGCAACCGAGATACATGCCCTTAACGGGAACCAAACCCGGGTCTCTCTGGGCCGCAGGCCGACGCTTTAACTGCTGAGCCAAACTGGCCAGGGCATATTTAAGTATTTTCATATTTGCAATAAAAAAAGAAAGAAAACACTTCTCCCCCAAAAGTTTTTAGAAATTTTACAATTCTTTTTGGGGAGGGATTTTTAAATCTTCTGGCTTTCAAAACTGGTAATGTTAAAGTCATCATACAAACTGCTTGAGGAAGTAGAAAATAGAAGTTTCCACAAGGAACTGGAATCAGAAATCCTGAGATTAGATTTCCCAAGCTTGCTTTCTCGGAATCCTAACAGTTTGGGTTTCATAGAACTTTGGATCTGGGAGTTTTGCAATCACCAAACTTGGAATTCTCAGAGAGTTTCTTTGCAAGTCAGTGTTCCTGTGGGTTTCCTGTGTCTGCATTTCAAGGTTGTGCTGGAATCCACTCCCCAAATTTGTAGAGCATGCCTGGAGTCCGAGTTCCAGATCCTGCCCCGCCACAGTCTGGGAAACAATCAGTCCAGTCCCTTGGGGGAGAGGCTGCTGGCTGCTGGAAGGGACAGGGGGTGTTAGCAGGAAACAGGCGGGGGGAAATGGGCAGGTGTTGATGCTGTGGGGGTGCCTCCAGGAAGGATGGAGAGGGAGGGGTGGGTTGGGACAGGACATGATAGGGAGGGGCAGAGGGTGTGGGCACACGGTACCCTAAACGTGTGACTGAGAGGACCACAATTAGAGGAGTCTGTTGGGGGCTGGAAAGCAGCAGTAGAAATACTAAGGCCTGGGAGAGGAGAAATGGTTCATTTTATCATTAATAACGCTAATCATTAGTGTTTGACAATTTTATAAAGGGCTTTCCTCAAGCATCCACAATTGTCTTGGGATGGGGATAACTGGGCATAGTGGAGGGTGGATTTGGACTGACCTGATGTAGACACACTCATTTGGGATTCTGCAGGGTCTGGGAAACAGTGTGTGCAGTAGTTAAGCACATAGCATGTGGGGTCGGGTAAATCTGCTTTGAATCCTACCTTTGTTGCTTAGTAACCATGTCACCTGGAACAAATAATTTAACCTCTTTGTGCCTCAGTTGTTTGCATGTATAAAATGGGTGTAGTGATAGTATCTACTTCCTAGAGTTCCTGTGAGGATCAAATGAAATTGTGCATATACATCCACAGGGTAAGCACTCATAGTAAGTGCTCAGGAAATTTTCACAATTGCTCATTCTGTAGCATGGGGGATGGGTGGGAGGGTACATGGTGGTAGGCAGGCTCCTTGTGGATTCTTACACACTTCTGCTCCTGTCTTCCAAGCCTGTCCTGCCCATCCACCCATCAGGAAATCCCATGTCCCTTCATTCAGTGAGCCCCCTAGCTGCCCTGGGTTGGGATTGTGAGATCACAGATGTGAGCACAGTCTGGTGACTGTTCTTAGAGTAAGGAAAGGAGCATGTGAACAGGGACCCAAAGTGACAGGAATCAGGGCATGAAAAGTTCCCCAGGAGTGAGTGACGGTATGCTTGAGGAGGCTGGGATCAAGAGTGTGGGCCCTCCCATGTGGGTCCCCTGCTTCATGCCTCGGTTGCCCCTTTGCCTTCTCAGTGTTGGCGTTGCAGAACCTGGCCCTGAGCACTGAGCAGAGCCTCTGTCTGCAGAAGGGGGTGGGGTGAAGTGAATGGGGAACAAGGTTGGGGTCATGCAGGGCTGGGAATGTCTACAGAGCTGAGGAAGTGGATGGCGGCCAGTCTTTGGGGCTGGACAGTCCTTGCTCCCCCCCTGACCAAGCCCCTTCTCCATTCATAGGCATAGAGGATCTTTCTTGATCTTCCTAATCCAAGTAAAACCAACCATCACAAGCCATACTTTGCTTGCACCACTTCTGTGAGAGGAAGCTCCTTCTCGGGGGCTCATGAGGCCCACTGGCTTGACTCCAGGGAATGACAAGGGTCCTGAGCTGAGGGCCCTTGGGTGAATGACCCACCTGCTCGTGGCCTGAATGAAGGTGGGGTAGGGGCAGTGGGCTGGGCCAACCACAACACAGCCTCAGAAGGGGAGCAGGGTCCTTTTGCTTTTTGCAGGCTTTGGGGACCTTGGCGAGCTGCAGCTTCAGCATCCACAGCAGCCCCTCTGCTCTCCCCCTACCCAAGGTCCCCTCTGTTGCTGGGTTAGTCTCCAAACCGTGGCTCTGAGCAGGTGGCCCCTTCCCCAAGCCACACTGCCTAGGAAATGGAGTCCATACCCTCACCCAGGCCCTCCGACACCCCCTCCAAATCTGCTCAATTCCATCATCTCCAGGCCATAACCTCTTTCCATCCTTCTGCCTGGGAGCCTGTCAGACCTCCCTTCCTCCCCACGTCTCTAACTCAAATTTTGTTGCATTCTCAAATCTAACCTTCAAAATATGTCCAAAACCTGAACACTTATCTCCACCCCGACTGCTCCCACCCTGGGCCAACCCATGGTCAGCCCTCCCCTGGCCTCCTAAGTTGATCACTTCCTTCAGCCTTTGTACCTCCAACCAGAATGAAATGGTTAAAATTTAATTTAGGCCCTGGCTGGGTGGCTCCATTGGAGCATCGTCCTGTGCTCCAAAGGGTTGTGCGTTTGATTCTCGGTTAGGGCACATATCTAGGTTGCAGGTTAAATCTCACATCGATGTTTCTCTCTCTCTCCCTCTCCCTCAAAAAATAAAAAAAAATAAAAAATAAAATCCATTACTTTTTAAAAAATTTTACAAATGAGCCACTTCTCTGCTCAGATCCCACCAGAATGGCTCAAAGGCCCTATGTGAGCTTCCCATCCACCACCTCACCTTTTCCACTTCTCACCTCGCTCATTCTGCCTTGGTCACTTAGGGCTCTCGCTGGCCCTCAACCCTTCCCAGGCATTCTTGGCTCGGAGCCTTCTGTTGCTTCCCCGAGAGGGCCACTGGCTGGCTGCGCCACCCTCCTTCAGGTCTCTGCTCAGATTCTGTGGATCAGAGAGGTTGCCCCAACCACCCCATATAAAAATAGCAACACCCCCACCCCTGCACCCTCTACTGCCTCTACCTGCCTTTGTTATTCTCTACAGTACATGTCACCGTATGTCATACAGTCAAACCCTGATTCTCAAATGTCTTCACTTCTCCACCCGACAACCCTTCAGTGCTGATACCTGTATGATCAGTCACTCGTCTCTCAGGTGACAAACAGAGGAGAGAATGCCTGATTCTGAGCCAGTTTACTGCTAAACCTCATGTCTTCAAAATCTCAGGAAATTGTGCTGTGAATATATTCATGTTTTTTCTTCTGTTGCTGCTTATTATTTTTTACTGTACATTTCATTTCCTTTCTGTTAAATCTTCATTTACATTTCATATCCTTTTTGTTTTTAAAGCGTTTATTTATAGATTAAACAGTACATCAGACATGTACTATATATATATAAGAAAGGTTAAAACGGAATCATTTGGGGGTCTGGAGCAAATTAATTCAATTTACATGATTTTTAATGGGAAAAAATGATTCATTTTTCTAACTAATCAATCACTTCTCGAACGGCCTTCTGGAACTAATTAAGTTTAAGAACTGAGGTTCCACTATACCTGACTTATTGCTTTGTCTGCTGGTTTATTGGTTTTCTCCCCAACCAGAAT